CGAGTACTCTTGGGTCACAGAGCAGATATGAAATTCAAGAAAGGCTAGGCATCTTCCCATATTACATTCTTTGGTGACTACATTACTTTATTTTTCGTTTATAATTAGGTTTTGAGACTGCCATTAGATCATATAAATATAAGATATATTCATCCTATTTTGTATATGGTGATAGGACTGGTCCCCCTCAACTACCAGTCACCTTATCATCATATACAAAATAGGATGGATGCAACTCACATACAACTTTGCTTGAATGACAATTCCACCACAGAATATGATATAGGAAGATGTCTAGCCTTCCTTGAATGTAAGCATATGTGAAATTCAATGGAAACGCTATGTCTATCATAAAGTTATGGGAAAATTCAACCACTATCACTCTAAACGAAATATGATAAATACACCTCATATATATGATCTACTACTAGTCTCGAAAAGCTAGCTATAAACGAAAAAAATGCTACTACTATATCGCATGACCCCGGTACCAGTGATTAAAAGTTCGGACTGAATTTTAAAGCAGGCTTTCTGCGTCATTGGATGACCACTTAATAACCACTTAATGACCACTTAATTGGACCACTTAATAACGATCTACATAGTCTCTAAACCTAATTTCTAATAATATTCAGCAAATCGGTTTACCTCCATCGTAAACCAAAAAATTTACCTAGGAGACTTAAGAAAAAATTAATTAGAGATTGGGCATAACATCAATTAAAATTTACTAGTAGACTTTGGAATAGAATGTAATGAGGAAGCAAAAGCAAACTAGCAGAAGTCATCCTACCATTTTCTATTTTTTCAAGCATTGATTGCAACGAGGAAAAGTCACCTTCATGCTTAGACATGCTATTTGATAGAAGAAAATGTTTCGCCTGCAAATTCGAAAGATTATTTTCGCTTGCAAGAAGGAGAGTTTCAAAGCTAGTGATTCTTTTTGAAATTGATTCAATATTGGAAAGTTCGCTGGAAACATCTAGTTGCACCGAATTCAATGTCTCTTGCAGCAACCGGATAGAGTTCTCTTGTGACCGAATTGTGTAAAATGCTTCATCTAGGGAAGAAGATAGTGCTAAGGTGCGAGATGTTAGTTCATCTGCCTTGGATAAAGCTTTGATGGCATCAGAGGCGGCCGTAGAAGAAGCTTTAGTAGCTTTATCCGTAGAAGAGTCAAGTTCATCTAGTCTGATGCGGACTTCATCGAGCTGTATTAGGAGTAATGGGAATTTTAAAATATTAAAGGTAAAACATGGTCGCTATTGGATGCATATTTAGAAAATAATCAGCAAAAATTTAATTAAATTTAAAGGTAAATAATCAATACTTAAAGAAGTGCGAGTTTAACACTCTCTATCAAAATTTGATTATAAGGGAAACTCTAACCGTCTCTAAAAATACAGAGTATAGCCAACAAATATTCTATTATGCTTCAAAATAATGCACAAAGTTAGAGCAAAGGTAACTGTAGATGACATCTATATTCAAAGGCTGATAATTGAGCTGTTTATTTCCAAAGTGGGAAACAATATGATTCCAAAAGCTCGTTCTCATTCAATAGATATTTTCATTTACTTATTAAGTGCCTATGAATGGATTAATTCTGTTTAATAGCCCTGAAATAAGAAATTAGCTTGAGTAATAAAATAAAAATAAAATAACTACTTATTATGCAGGAAGCTCTTTTTGTTGCATTTCTAATAATTTTACATACAGAATCAGCTTAAATCCACATATTTGCTCATGTAGTATGTATATAAACATATACGTAAACGCATGTATGCAAGAATAACGAACAACGCAGTCTCCTAGTAGATCATTTGCAGAGCTCATAAGGAGGCATCAAAAAGCCTCATTTACTAGCACGATGTACTAGTATATGGATA